GAAAGAGACATCTCAATGCAAAGCAAGTATCAGAGTAGGAAAGACCTGAAAGCTATCTACTGAGTAAGGCCCAAATCCCTCCCTCCCTCCATTCCTGAAAATCCAAGAGTTCTTCCAACCCAGCTAGAGGCAGCCACCTAGAAACGGTCCGCTGTAGTGCTCAGGATACACTGGTAGTTTGGCACAGGTGTTCCCACACCATCTGTCCTCAGTCCAGGGATTGTGCATGGTCACTACCCTGGTGCACAGTAGTTTGGGCCCATGGGCAAAAGGGTAATTCAGGCTGTGGTTGAGAATCGGTTTGGATCCCAGGCTTCTGGAGGAGTATCCATTCATGGAAGCCATCTGAAGAGGTCATCTACTAGAACAGCTCTATCAGCAACTTTCGATTACTCAGTGATGCTGCAAATGACACCTGGTTCCAAGATAAAGAGCCCAGCTGAGTAAGGCCCAGTCAGCAGGGTGCTGTCCTATTACTTATCCCCCCTCCACATAAGGAGGACACTTCCATAAATGTTAGGCTTAAGCATTGATGCTTTTTAACACTGTCTTTATCTGACCAGCTCCCAGAGTTTAGTGCAAAGACATTTCACAAACAAGCCAACACTTTGGTAGAGTCACCCAACACGTGCTTTCGCTCAGCTGGTCCATCACCATCGTGTAGGTGGTGTCCCTTAAAAGCTGTCACCCAAAGGAATCCATACACTCAAGCAAGACAGGCAGGAAGCATTCGTTAACAAGAGGATGAATCTATGCAAAGCAGGTATTCTGATGAGCATTCCCATAGTGGGAATCCATTTCCATGCACTCCTACCTTGTCTGGTGTAGCTGCCAGTTGTTTCATTTTATACTTGGAACATTAGCTCTTCAAGAGCAAGACCAACCCTTTAACATGGATGGATAGAGCACCTGGCACAATACAGTACTGTGAACTACCTCAATACAAAAGGCTCTATACATTGCAGAAAAAATGCAATCCAGCCCCCCACCAGACAAAGGTCGATTCCTTCAGACATTAATTACACTGTATCAGTTCATACTAGAGCAGTGGTTTTCAAGCTGGATCTGCAGAACCCTGGGATTCCAGGATAGGTCATCAGCAGGATCACAAAGAGGATGCGAGTAATGGTGGAATGGGCCAGGAGGTGGTGCGCTGTCACGGCCAGGTTCGGTGGCCTGGCTCCACGTCCACTCACAGAATAGCCGTAGGGGTTTCAAGGCAAAAGAGGTGGAGTTAAAGGTTCTGCAACTTTAGGAAGGTTTGAAAGCTAGCATAGTAAAACAAGAGATCTGCACTTAGCCAACCCTTGGGTTTAGTTCACCGAGTACATTTCAGCTGCTTTTTGTTAGGTCAAACACATTAACTTGATTATCAGTTATTCAACAAGACAGACAATGCTCTGATGAGAGATTCAGAGGTTCAACAGATTTACAGTGAATCTAGTAAGGGTCTACTTGTATTGGGGATATATGTATCCATGCAGCTACATAAAAAGTTCTCTCTGTAGTACAGACCAAGGGTTGGCAACTTATAGCCCATGGGCTAGATTGAGCCCAAAGGGAGATTTTATCTAGTTTGTCAGACTGTGATAGCAGCAGTGGAGGTAGCAGTAAAAAATCAGCATCCGGCATGTAAGGGGTGGCCCACCTTCAGACAGAGCTGCATTAACTCCCAACATTGCTCAAAGGCTGCCAACCCCTGGTATAGACAGGCTCCAAAACAAAACCATCCACAGGAGTGTAAAGGGAGGAAATGCAACTTGCCGACACTAGGTGGAGCCACTGGATTGGGGATACAGCACAACATCAAAACTAGGCTTTTGTATTCATCAGACGGACATTAACTTACATGAACTACCAGGGCCACAAAGGTTTTTGGGGCCTGCACTCTTCACCTATATGCAAATAATTAATTCCAGCACCAGCCCCAACTCGCACCCAGCCTTCATAGGCTTGTACTGCTCACCTTTGACACTGGAAACCTGCTGGCCTTGTGTCTTGCTGAAGAGGTTCAGCTCATTGGTGATGGGTTCCAGCATCTTGACAAAGTTGGGCAGGAAAAGGATGATGTGAACATCGTGGTTGGAAAGATGTCGCCCACAACTGATTCCCTGGGCCCCCTTCACGTGGGGACCGCACAGCAAAGCTACTGTGGGTCGCTGGTGAACATTTTTAGGATTCAGTCTGCAAGACAGTAGGGTAAATCATTAAAACCAAAGTGTCCCCTGCAGAAGACTGAAAACAGCACCTAGAACTTCACGTGCCAGTGGAGTGTCACAGATTTCCAAGTATTCAACCCTCTGGAAGTGAGCAATCCAGAGTTCTGCCCACTCTGCAAAGCCAGACACACATCATCCTCAACTTGGTTATCACTAAACGGCACTGGATGAGCACTGCCCCACTTCTCGTCTCCACAGTGGAGACTTCCAAGCCATGAACTGCAGGAAACTACCCAAGAGGACCGCAATTCCAGCTCATGGAAAATCTTCCATAGCATTAAGGAAAATGAGGCACAGAAATGCACTGAGGGCTCACTATGTCTTCTTTGATTCATGGACTGCTGATGCCAAGTAAAGAGCAATCATCTTTTAAAACCCTAGACACAGGCTGTATGTGCTACATGTTACCCTTATCTCGTGTACCTGAAAAGGTAAACTGCCAACTCAAGAGTGGGCACACAGCTGGTACTTGGGGAGAATGTACTTAAGCTATAACAGTATTCTGGGATCAGCACTGGTCCTTGTATAACACACAAAGGGAACCCATGCCTTGAAAGCATGCTAGAGGGAGAAGTTAGAAACACTGCCACAGCTTCAGACTCAAGGAAGCCTAGAATAGAGAAGTCCAATGGACTGGAACCCAATACACCACAGCAGCTTGTCCCAGGAGAACTGAGGCCCAAGCACATCTCACTGACTCATGGCTTGTAGGCATACCTCAGGATGCAGGAATCAGCTAGTGACAGCAAATCTCACTGATACCGAACAGATGTCAAGCAGAGAGGGATATAAACAAGAATGACATAGGGAAGCTTTACCCATGGAGTAACCTGGATTACTGCCTAGTTTTTTTATGGCCATGTGCAGGATGCTGCATGAATCACAGGGGAAGGTTTGCACAGCTTTCTATGATAGAGGATGAACATGGAGATGCAGCCACATCTGGCCACTTGGATTAGGAGCAACTTGCAAGTACAGGACAACAAAGTGAGATTTCTGTTAGGAAATTGTGACATACTAGTTCTTCATCTGGCAAGTGAGCCATGGTCCAAAAGCTCTGTTCAGATTGCAAATGGGGAAGATTCACAGCCAGTTCTGAGGCAACCTGCTTACCTGTTGGGTCCTCCCAGTAGACTCAGTGCCATCTGGCTGGCACAGACCCCCGTCATCTCCAACCTCCGCTCCAGCGTCAGCCCATGCTTCTCAGCAACTGAAAGCAGCTTTTTGTGCAATTCGTATGACACGCTTGGAACAACCAGCCCAGAGTCTACAATTCAATGGAGGAGGAGAGAAGAAGGAAATAACACAATCAGTGATGCTTCCAAAGGGTCACCATCCATTAAGAACATGGAGCACATCTATGAATAGTGACAGTGGTAGTGAAGAGGTCAGCGGTCTCTGCAGAACAACTGTGTACCCCTGAAGGATGGATCAAGCAGCTGTGATCCCAGTAAGCTCCAGCAACTTTCAAGAGGATGTCATCTGCATCTGAACTAAATAACCGAGTCCATTTTGTACGCATTTTCCTTTGCCATAGAAACCACCTCTACAAGAGGCATGAGCGCAGCTGTTTTTCTGCAGCTGTAAGTTCCTCAGGAACCCAGAGGAACAAAGCTGGGAAGCAAAGCACAATCACTAACAAGGAAGGGAGTTCTTTGGCTATTACTGGGACCAATGGTCCAGAACCTGGGGCGGGAGAAAGAAAAAGAAGAAAAAAAAAAAAGTACTGTCTGCAGCTTGCTCCTGGAAACTCAGCAGCGGAAACAACTTTCTCCTATGTGGACACTTGTCTTCACCAACCAACAAATCTCTGCCAAGGGAAGCAGCAAGTCTGAACAGAGCAGCCTTTGTGAACTGCACTGTGAGGAAGCCACCTTCCCCAGCAAATTTGCTCTAGCCATCTGTACCAAGCTGCCACTCCCACAAACACCAACGTTTTCTCCCCTTCATTACCTACACGGCTGAAGAGCAGTTGGAGAGTTTCCAAGAACTACCAGCCAGTTCTGATACCACCCTGGAATTGCAAGGATGGAACAGCCAGTGGCTGTAAGTGGAAGACATGAGCAGAAAAGATGGCTTTGGATGTGACAGCAGCATGTTAAAGCCAGCAAGTTTCCCATGACAGGGCTTCACAAGAATCCAAATAAAGATCTCTTTCTTCAGACTATCTTATTCATTAGTTTCATTAGTTTGAGAAGACCCCCTACAACCACAAACTATTAAATTTCTGCAGCAGCACATCACCTGCAGGAATAAAACAATGTTCTCATAACCCATGCTCACGTGCTACTGACCATCCAAAAGCACCGATCCCATCATCTCCAAAAGCCTCAAATAGTCTTCTCTACCTGTGGTTAATCCCAACTTGGCAGGATATGGTGGCTTTCTAGGCTGAAAATGTATTACCACTAAATGCCAGAAGTCCTTGATCTACGCCGTGGAACCAACGTGGCAGCAGTTCCATCAAGTTATTCACTCCACTTGTTATACTGCACCCTTATCCTCCATCTCCCTGTTCGGACTACAAACTTTTTGGGGCACAGAATGTCTGTTGATCATACAGTGCATGGCACAATTGCTGGCCCTTTGTTGACCCCTGACAAAAATGTAGGGGGTCAAAGGTTTAATCTTTCACTGCTTCTTTTCAGCTAAATGAGTCCTCCAATGGAGGGAATGCAAAAGCAAACTGTTTAGAGTCTTAAAAGATGAACGTTGCTAGCAAAGAGAAGATCACACACAATACACAATAGATATAACTCAGACAATCCAAACATAAAGCAAGTAGTCTTGAGACTTAGAATCACTACATCTTAAAACCCTCAAAACTCTTAAGAGGTGGTCAGCCTGCTAAAGAGATCTTAGTCTTGAAATCTGGGTAAAAGGCATTGAGTTATTACATCTGCAGACCTGAGGGTGCCAGAGGAAGTCATCTTAGAATATCAACCTCCTCCTCTTTCATCCCCCTCCTCAAACAGAGACTTATAATATTACTTAATCAGAGAGACCAATGCAGTCAGAAAGGCAATGCTCTTGTGACATTGTCATAATGCAGCTTCCCTTTTCTTACAAAAATATTTAGATACAAAAAAAAAAAAAAAAAAAAAGTTTGTTGAAATGATTTTTTACTGATCGTGAAAATGCACACAGGCACCTGCATAAACTTGGAGGGGGGGGAAACACCATGGTGCCCATGGGCACCGTTGTCTTGCACACTTCTGTAGCCAACAGGATTAATAATTAATGCCATTCACAAAGCAGGCTTAGATTTTAGGAGAAACTTTAGACCTTAGCAAGCAGAAAACTGCAATTGGGAGTCTCTTCAAGGCACTTTTTTGGGGGTTTGTTTAGCCATGTCACCACTAATCTAAATACAGCGCAGCCAAGTAATGAAAAATAAATGGACCCTAAAATGTCTACGTTTTATTAGAAGTTTTCATCTTCCAAGGAGCCACATTAGACAACTGTCAAGCAGATATGGGGTGCTATGACAGCCAATACAACTTCTGGGCTTGGAATAATGCAGCTCAGTGAACCACTGGCAAGGCAGATTGATGGCCTTGGGGGATCATCCTATAGAGGCTGGGTTTTTCTGGCTAGGGTTAACTCCTGCCAAGGGAAAGATTTCTTGGGATTTCTATCAACAGCTTCCAAGAGGACTATCAATTCAAAACAACCCTCTCATTAGAAAGCCTGCCCACCTGGTTAGGAATTTAATTGCACTGAAAACCAAGAAATAGATGCTGTGACTCAAAAGTACCCAGAGAAAAAGAAAAGCCATTATAACTTCTGCTATCAGTAATGGCCAATGACTGAAAGGCTGTTTCCTTTGTAGGGTAACACAGCAGCTGAAAAACAGCACACTGCATTAAGATCAAAGAGACAGGAAACATAAGACTATACCCCAGTGTGAAATGCAGGGGGAGAAGAGGCTGGCAGAAGGTAGCGACATGAAAGTTACAAAGACAGCAAGACAGGCTAATTCCCCAATTGCCTGCAAATTATTTCTAGCTCTTTAGCCAAATAGTCCAAGCTTCTGTTTAAACTTCTCCTCCCAAAGGAATTCTTGAATAGCACCAAGTTCATATATGGGCCTGGCCTGGCCTCTAGAGCTGGTCTACAGGTCTTTCATCCAAGTACCAACACAACTCAGTTCAGTTCAGCTTGTGATCTTTGATCACAGCTCCAGAGGTCTGACTATAGGGAGGAATAGTTCTTGGCTCACGTCTGTTTCGAGAATTCAAAATTCACTGCTTGGAACTGAATGAGCAGTGTTTGGAGGCATTCGGGAACAATCAGCAGCTTCCGAGTGAGTGAAGGCTTGGGGTGTTATTGCCGAGCAGGCTGTTAGCTCTTATGGTGTGGTCTCCTGGCAGGTAAAACGCACAGGAAGCGGGAGAGAGAGTTTACATAAATAAGTGACATGACTCAAAAGAAGACTGATTCCTCTTTACTGCACATGCGTGACAATCCCAGGCAGGGGCCCTGCCTCGAGGATGCCATAGAATCAGGTAAGTTCAGTGATGATGAGGTCATATTTCTGAGTCAGGACTGATCAGGACTATTGCATTCTCACATTAGCAGCACACATTTGACATGCAAATTCAGAACTAACCTCCATTCAGCACTTGGTGGATATATACTACAACAGCCAGTACTCAAGTAGGGAGAAGGCCAAGCCAGGGTTTGAACCACCTGAGCTAACAAAAAATCTCTCTGCTTACTTGTGCTTACATTTAAGGGTCAGTTCTACTGTACTGATGTTAACAGAGATTAGGCATTACTCAAATGGGTGATAATGCCTTAGCTTAACTCTACAGAAGATCAGCAGAAACTAAGGGGTGCCTTAAAATGTTTCTTAAATGCTTTAACGTACCCTGCTCCCAACACCTAAATCACAGAGACCAAGACTTGTGGACTTGGTCAGGAGGAGTGGAAAAATAATGGTGACAATGGGGCAGCTGTACAAGGCAATATGGACTGCTTGACTCAGATAAAATGGTTTGAACTAAGCCAAATGCAAGCTTAGAGAGCTAGGAAGAAGGTATTTCTCATCCCTTGACTCAGGGTGGTTGACTCGGTGCTTTTGCTTCCCCCAGGCCTGTGGCCTAACCCCAGGCCCTATCCACAGTGGTTTTCCTTGGTGGCCTCCTGGACAAATGGTGACTCTGGAGAGGATTTAGGGGTCTTAGAGGACAAACAACTCAGTGTGATGCCCTGGTTTAAAAAGGTCCATGTATTCCTTAGATGTATACCTGGAGGTTAAGGAGAAGGCAATTCGACCCCAAAAGACTGCATTGGTAAGATCATTGCTAGAGTCTTGCATGTTGTTCTGACAGCCACATTTTAAAGCTGATACTGAAGAAACACAATGGTGCAAAGAAGAGCCACACAAAGTTTGGGGGATGGGGAAAAAAAAAGAAGGTGCTTGCTGCACCACTGAATATATAGTTTACCACTGTGTTTCTCAACCCGAGTGCTGCAAGATCCCTTTAAGGCACCGTTAGACAAGCAAACACCTACACAATTCACAAGATAAACCCAGAGATTTCAAACAGGAATCTAACGTGTCAAAAACAGTCTGACTGGTTATATTTTTCTAAGTCCGTTGCAACTGAAGAACTGCTCTAGTCTTTTTCCATACCCAAACAAGTGAAGACTAAGAACTGGCATTTTCCAAGGGGTGCCTTGAATCTAATATAGTTGAAAACTACTGGTTTAAGTGAGAAGTAGAAGGACACTTGCCCATGGCATACAACCACCTTCTACAGGGAGAAACAACAGGTGCTGAAGGTCTCTTTAGCAATAAAATTGTAACAGGAACCAAAAAACAGACAAACTGAAAAACTTTCTTCTTTCAGTTGTGCGAGTGTTTCACATTAATTATTTGTATCGTGAAGAATGCCTAGTCTTGGACCATTATAAACAACTTATAGGAAGTGAGGGATTCTTTATCTTGATGTGTTCAAGACAAGACTGGCAGTCTTTCAGAAAGATGTGCCTTAAAAAAATGCAAGTCATTACTGGGCTCACTTCTAGGGTAATTCTGTAGCACAGTGGGGGCCAAACTTTTTGTCAGGTGTCAAAACTTAGCCCAGCTGCCGACTCAAGTACCACTCTCATCCCACTACCTGCCCAGTCTGCTTTGCTTTCTGCTCCCTACCCCCCTCCGATCTGCTACATGTCAAACACAGAGGCTGCTTATGTGACTTGTGGTACAGACTGGCCACCCCTGCTGTAGCACAAACTAGAGACAGGATCAAACTCACA